AAAATTTCATGTTATTTACCTAACAACAGTTACTTATTAGCGTAAATTATTGCGTTAAATGGGTTAATAACTAGGGTTTATTTAGCTCTAATACTAAAAACGGTGATTAGCTCGTCGGGATTAATCACCAGTTTTTTCTGTAAGTAAACTACCTGGATAAAGGAATGACGTCGTAATAGTCTTGAGTCGACGAACCTCGGACCACGGAAGATTTGTCGGGATGGACTAAGAATTGGACTCGGGGTGCGGGACCGTTCTACCCCAATTTCCCTTTCTCTTCCTTGGGGGACCGCGGGACGCGCAGGACAAACTATAACGGCGATGCGTGTTCCTCCCGCGCCCTAGCCGGATTGAACCCGACCGTTTCCCATTAAATTTTCTTTAATTTATTCAATTTTTTTTTTTTACAATAATATTACAAACACCACAGGCCACCGAAGTAGAAAACTAGCAGTAGTCAATTCGTAGTGTAGAAAAATTTTATTGACTTCACTATCACCAATGACGTCTGTAAAGACCTTTTACATAAAAACCAAATTAATGAATATAGTTTTTTTATTTATTTACGACGAAATTTCACGCTACACACCTAAGTTACTAAACAAGGAAAAGAAAAACTAACCAAAAGTTATCTGTGGTTCCGAAACCACACAACAGACAACAGGACCGTGTTGGTACGGTAGTTTGAAAACTGATAGTGAAAAGTCCAGAGGTTCAACTCCGAGACGTGGCCCATTCAACCTATCTTGTTTTATTTTTACAAACAGACAATACTAAATACTCAAAAAACTCGTGGTAATTACGGGTACAAACTACAATTGTTTTCATTTTTATTTTGTCCAAACGTTAAGACAGTTTGAAGGGTAATAAATAATGAGGAAGTTTACATAATTTTCCTTGAGAAGTTTCCTTTCCGTTCTTGTTTTTATAATAATACGATTTTTTATTCGAATCATGCCAACAGATCAATATAAAAATTTTAATACAAAATTTTATTATTAATTTTTCTTCTAGATTCGTACTTTATTGTTATATTTTTTTTGTCCTATGTTTTCATGTGCAGGATACAGAACTTTGGACTCACAAACGTCGTCACTCAGACCCGCTCACTGCTGGGTGAGCCTTGAAAAGATTGTAGTACCGAGTCTACGTAGAAGGTAGGGTCTCCCCAGGTCTCCGAAGTAGCTGAGACACCGGGGACGTGGTTATGATGAAAGATAGTGAAGAGAGTTGAAGGATGTTTTTCCCATAAATGCATGAACAATTAAACGGTGTTCACCAAACAATGAAGTAGAAAAGTCACGTTCACATTATGTCCCTATTTGGGAAACCTTGTAAGACAGTAAACTTCTCACCACGTTGTCTTTATGTGTCTGTGTTTTAGTCTATAGCAATACGCTTTATACCCTTATCTGTGGTAGTGTACTATATACAAACGGTTCAGGACAAAGACAGGACAGGAACGTCAACACACTTATGTTAGACTAAACTTTGAATTAAACTTCCTAGTCTTGTAATAATTTGAACTTTTCTAACTGTTGAATTATACGTTCAGGGTAATCAACTGAAAAACCAATACAAAATAAAATAAATTATACATTCATATCCACATTTAAATAAATAATATCAAAAATAATAAATACAAATAAACAAGATCAACAAACATGTTGCAGTGCACTGTCACAACCTGAAAACTCGTTGACATATAGCCAACATTTTGGTAAAACATATTCAACATATTCCACTCAGTTAAACATTAAAGGCTGGTCCACCGTCATGGTCCAGAAGTAACTGGAAATAAATGTTGAACTACAATTTAAGACCAAATAAAAATGTTTTGCCACCATGGCAAATGCTGGTAGGGCTGCTCATGTCATCTCTTAAAGATTTTTTGCTAGAAACTAAGGCTGCTCGATTATGGCAAAAATCATAATCTGGATTATTTGGGTCAATAATTGATATCACGATTATTAAAAACGATTATCCATTTACTTTGAAAACATCAATTTATTGGATAAAAACAATTTGAACAGTATGTTTTTAACAGTTTATTACCCTAAACTTTAAGTATAACTCAACTGAAAAACCAATAAAAAAAAATAATAATAAGTAAATAAGTAAAAAAAGAATAATAATTAATAATAAAAAAAGAATCGTTATATTTCGATTACATTGTTTTCGTAATCGTTGCAAGCCACAATCGCGATTAAAATACGATTAATTGAGCAGCCCTACTTTAACTTCACAAACAGTAAAGTTAATCAAAAAGGAACTGAACTTGTTTTTCTTTCACAATACTATCATTCTAGTCCTAGCACTCACCTCTCCTCCAGCTCTGCGGGAGTTACTGATGGCTTGTCCAATCATTTCGTAGATCTCCAGCTGTTGCCAACACAAATGTTGTACTTGTTAGCATTTTAAATGTTCTTACGGTGTGTTTAAGGTGCCAAGGCACTAATAATAACATATTACTAAAAAGGAGAAATGTAATGGCAATATATGAGACAATAACTTCAACATAAAACCATTCAGAATGCAACTCCCTGCCCCAACAATTTGTTCATCATTTGAAATAAACCTGTAACTCACTGAGTCTTGCGAGTCGAAAACAGAAGTTACTGAATAAAGTTTCAACGAAGCACCAGATTATTTCCTATTTGAGCATACTTTGAGAATGTTTTATTCATAATACTCACACATTTCTGGACAATTGTGGCTGCGTCATTTTCATAGTCTTCCTCTTTAGTCCCAGTGGAGGCTGAGCGCAGCTGCAAGCCGCTGCCTACCTGCAGAATGGCCATGCAGGTGGCAACACTCGTACCTAAAAGGGTTAAAAAATAAACATTTATTTTGACTTGTACAAATTTAATTCAATAATTTAACAAAATGTATAAATAAGGGAGGTACATTCAAGCAACCCAGCATAGTACTACACTGCTTTATGGTTTCATTTTTTGTAAAGGAAGCGGCTATTTCTGTCCCATCTATAATTCTTCCATTTTTGCTGAAGTTTAAAACTTTTTCAATTACTGGACACAACAGTATACTTCATTTTGTCCAACAGAGTTTTTCACCTACCAGCATAGAGACAGCTCAAAGCCAGCACGGTCATATCCAGTAATCTCCCCGGTGTCAAGGGCTCCAGTACAGGCAGGGACAGTGTGTCCAAAGCCATGGTTACGTCTATCACCAGTGAATGGAAACTGGGTTTGGGGTTAAAGCATTAAAAGTTTATTGAACAGTAGAGAACATTAGTTACCAAATACACATGCAGAAACGTACACAGCTGATATTGACCCTTATAAACAAATCATAATATAAGAATGAAAATTGTATATAATAAATCAATTACCCATTGCGGACAGCAGTGGCATCGGCCACTGTGGCCGGCATGATAAAGAAAGAGTTGGCTGATACAGCATCCTGGAAACGGTTGATGTAGCGCAGAAAGTAGGGCAGGTTGAGGCACACACGTAGCAACTTCTCAGACCCACCTGGGAATATATTAAAAAAAACACTGTTAACTCTGGTAAGAAAAAAGGGGTGGACAGTCATTTTGCATGTGAAAAGGTTGAGGGGAAAATGCCCCAAGATTCTACTTAATAATACTAAAATACTTAAAGGTGGGGTAGGTAAGTTTGAGAAACCGGCTCGAGATACACTTTGTTATATTCCAGGGAATGCTCTTAGCATCCCGATAGCAATGAATATCAGTGTTTCCCCTACCATTGTCTTGGCGGGGCGCTGCGCCCTGCCAACGGAGCCCCGCGCCCTGCCTGAAATTCAAGGTGTTTTTATTTTGTTTTTTATTTAAAGAAAATATATATATATATATAGCACCAAATTTCAACTGAAGTAATCTATCTACAGTCACTTTTCACATTGAACATGTGCTCTTTTATTAAATAAACTAAACGCCATGTTATTTATCCAATGTGTTCATGTTTCAGTGTCCACTGCTTTGCGTATTCACATTCTCCCTCCGCTCTGTTTCTGAAGGGCGGGGCTCACACACACACACACGAATGCACACACTCACGCTCACAATCAGAGACAAGAGTGGAGGAAAGGAGGAGAACA